ATAAACAAATTATTTCAAAATAAAAAAAACTGTTGAACAAACTGTTGAACTGTTGTCATCTTCCTATATTAGCAATTTTTTTATTGTATGCATAAACACAAGTAAACTAATTAGTGTTTCTAGAAGTTGCGCCTGTTCAGTGTTTCTATACTCATTCGCATAAACAAAAATTTTCCACGGTGATGGAAAATAATGGCTTTTCTATTAGAGCTACCGAAATTGTTCCTAAATTTGCAAAAAGATTAGAATATTTGAAATCAGCGACCTAAATGCGCGCCAGTAATAAAATGCTGTTGTTTACATCTTTTGGCTATAGGCCAGTGCAATTATTAAGAGCACAATTAAAATTTGATTGAAAAAAGATAGCTTTGAGATTAACGATAGGCTAAAGGGCTGCGAGAAATGATATTTGACTTTATCTGTTGCGTTAACGGATTCATTATCTAATAATATGCACCAAACCTTTTTGCTGAACCCAGAAATTTTAACAAGAATTGGTCTTATTCGACTAGTGAGCTGTGGGTCTCTTGGCGTTGGATGCGCGGGCTTTTACAATTAAAATAAAAGACTGCAATTTTGCAGGCTTGTTGTTGACTTCATAATACAATATATTTTCACTATTACCAAGGGATTTGACCAAAATTAGATTTTCGACCCGCCCTAATGTTCATATATGTACTACGGATTTCACCAACCGATGAGGGTAATATGTACACATTCACGCATTTCTAATAAATTCACTCTTTATTTACAGGTTCGCAGTATCAACGAAAATCGTGGCGCGGTCGAACGTCTAACATTTAATAACCACACCGAATGTCACTGTGTAGAAAAATCTATGCAACAGGTGGAGGAGTATTATCATCTGCCACTCTACGGTATATCGTTCGGTGGAGAGACACTCCGAAGAGCTACCATTTTCAACTGTAACTGTCCCAAGTTGTACGAAAAAATTTTGCAGGAGGACGATTTCTGCCGATGTGACTGCTCTTCCGGTAACACCGGTTGTGATTGGCTCAAGAGGGGCATGGAGCATTTCTCGATGATTGATCGGAAGTTAGTTCACAAATATCCCAATTTATATTTTCTCCCAGTTTAGTCTGGAATTTATAACGTAGTCATGTATTTTTCAGATGCATATCCGAAGGACGTTGCAAGGCGCCTACATGTGAGCATGGGACCTATATCAAAAAGTACGGACGATGTCCCAAACGGGAGGAGCAATTTTCGACGTCATTGTCTGCCCCAGAGACGTTGAAAAACAATGCGTTTCTGCCCATTAATTACCATTGAATGGAATTATTAATACTATATATTTTTTGGTGCAACTAAAATTAAGTATTAATAAAAACGTTTAAATAGAGGTAGCAATTTATTTGATAAAAGTATATATTTGCATAGGAATCTTAAAAGAGTTAATGTACAACAAGAAAATGGAATTTATGCAGTATTGAACGTTATGCAATAACATTTACATGCAATTTTAAATCCGAAAGCAATGATCATCTGTGTTAAGAAGTATGTAGGTGATTTCAATTTTCCACATTCATTCAATTGCACGTATCGCTAGCTTATAGTGAAAAGTGGTTAAGTTCACCTTTTATGAAAAATTCCATACAGGAAGCGGGAAGTATTAAAAATGCATCGTTTCCAAAAAGACCGAATTACTTAGAAGCAAAGCGAAAAAAAAAATCTATAAATCTAAAAGAACTCAAACAGTTTTCATTAATCTGTTTGCTAGGTTGGAGCTGCTTCCGCCCATGGGAGTAAAATCGAAAATAAGATTTTTCCTTTTCCCTCCTACGCGTTTGAAAGCATTTCGAGTAACCCTCAGGGAGCCTGTTTTATTAAACAATAAAAAATAACATACATTACAATTACAAATAAATTGTTGAACATTTTTTCAACTCACATTAAATTTGATAACTGCACATATATCACAGGGGAATTTACACACTAGGCACTACTATTATACAGAAACTTGTTTGTTGCTTTTATTTATATTCGCGGTTTTTATCACAGCTGTGTAGGCATTATTTGTTTTGTCGAGTTACATCTTCTTCTTAAGCAATAACAAACATGAAACCATGATAAAGAAACTTGCTATATTATAAAGCAATATGCAAAAATATGAAGATCCTGCCGAAACAAAAAGAGTGATTAAAGTTTCTACTTTGATGCAAAGACCCACCATATCTATAAGGAAAAAAAGGAGACACTAATTCATTGTTTCCAATTAGATACAACCAAGCGGGAACTTAGGAAATTGGAACAATGTTTCCTGCTCAAAATTCTTAATCTGGAAATTAGAGAAACTAATATAAATATAACAAGTAAGAAAGTCCAAGTTCGGGTGAAGCCGAACACTAAATACCCGGCGCACGTGTTAAATATTGTTTACGTGGGCGTAACCAGGTAAGGGCTATATATATATATATATAATGGTACCCTGAAATGCTAGCTTAATAATTTTGAGACGGACGAAAGGATTGACAGACATTCACGGTTTAATCCATTTCTCTTTTTACCCTGAGCATTTATGTATACATTTGTCTATATTTAAATCGATTGCTTTAGGCTGTTACAAACAACCGTTATGGGAACCATATGTAATACTTCTATATTGGCAATTTCTAAAAGTGCAATTCAAACCATTACAGTAGGGATACATATATAGCAAAAAGAATGAGAAAACCGAGCAAGCATAAGGGAAAATCTAAAAAACAGGTACACTTTCAAAATAAAAAGTTAAATTTTTTGATTTGTGGGCACACTTATGTTTTTTAAATGATTCTATTCGTAATCTCTTAATTAATCGATACGTGTAATTCATTTTCATAAAGTGCTTCAAAAGTTAGACGAGGAGTAAACGTTTAGATCGCTGAAATAGAAAACAAAAAATAATTTGTGTTCAAATTACGCTGTGAAAATTGTAAGATTTGAAAGTTGAACTCACCTACTACTTACTTTGAAAGTTGAACTCACTTTCGAGATAACGGTACTTTAAAATTTTATTAAATTCTAACTCTTTTGTAAATAACTCCCTCAGTTTTGAAGTTATTTCACTAAAGTTTTGTACATAACGGTTTTTTAATATTACCTTAATTATTCCTTAAAATTATCGAAATAAGTTCACTTTAACATATAACATATAGCTCCAATACTTTAACATATAGCTCCAATACACTCGTGCGCAGTGCGCGCGAGTGACGAAAGCAGCGATAGTAGCATGCTGAAATGTCTCGCTTCTATATAGACGAGATTTGGAAGTTTTTATCCAGACGTCCAATCGACATGTTTTAGGTATCGTTGGAAAGGCCTTGCAGAGTGTGTTCAAAAAATATATTCCAGCTTCATAAACGATTAACCAGATTCCTAAAAATTAGGCTAAAGTGTTGCGAAACAAAAAACGTATTTTTGCTTTTGCCGGTTTTAGTGGGTAAGTGGGTACACCCAGCCCATATTGAGTTCCGGCTACTAGTTGGAAAGATATAGAGCTAAATTGGTGTAGCGTCTGTACGTACCTTCATTTAATTTTTTTCAAACTTTCAGGAATTAAAGTACGAAAAAAAGTAAGAAGGTTTGTGCCAGGATATTTCCATTCGTATGCCTTTGTGGGCGTGGCTGGTGCCTGAAATTCGATAAAAGGCAAATTTTAAACTATCACTGAGGCCGCACAACTCATTCCATACTATTGACGTGGATATCAGTAGAAGGCCCTTGAAACAAGCTACCTAACGCTGTCTTTTTCGTTTATAAAATATAAATATGTCAACGTTATCGCCTGAAAACTAAAGATCGGTCTGCTGAAAATATAGATTTCGAGCATTTTCTCAAAAACTGGTCAGTCGATTTTATGTTAGGTTTCCTCAAGTTTAGCCCAAAACCTTAGCTTTCATTTGGTATACAACTTATATCTGGGAAAACCCTTGTTGTGGAGATATTGCGATTCAAATTAAAAAAAGTCGCTCCAAAGAGCGACAAATGGTTCACAATTTACATATTCGTCTATTTGTTTACTTTAAGTTATCAACATAACATACAGGGTGTCCCAGAAGTAACGTGCCAAACTTTAGGGGAAGGTAGGTGGGGGGGGGTGAGCTCCCTGATAAACAAAAAATTTTCAGGTAAAAGTGTCACCGTTTTTGAAATATTTACATTTTTTCGAATTTAAAAAAAAATCGTGCCTTTTCATGTGTTTTCTTTAACTGCAACTACAAACCGGGCAATACTTAGTAAATTTTTTATGTAAAATACTTCCAGATAGTTGCCTCTCCATACTCAAATGCAATGTAGTTAAAATATATTAAGGAACCATCATAAAATTGGGACTATTTCTGGATTTTTAACTTTTTGATATTTTCTTCCCCAACTTTGACTATCACGGGTGAAAAAAAAATGTACTGAGCTATAACTTTACATTACATAAAAAAATTGCTCATTTCATAAAGATTTCAGAAAGGTGCCACACTTACTGTTTCGAATAGAAAAAAAAAGTTATAGCCGCTTTTGTGGGTAAAGGACTGAGACACGCTAGAATGTATTTAATAGATTTAAATTGAATTTGCTCTTGTTACCGTCAAATGACATGCTAAATAGTACAAAGGTACATTATTACCTGCTCCTGATATTATTTTGTGTTACTTACCGGAATTCGGACTAGAGTCTATAACAAGGGCTATATCTATCAATATTTTGTGTGAAGGATAGGTTCACGTGAAATAAGATATACATGAGTTGTTTGAAGAAAAATTTATTCATTTATTGATAAAATATGCTCAAATTGGCCACCTTCTACTCTAATACAAGCTCGGCA